GGGGGGGGAGGGAGGAGGGGAGCGAACACTGTCTTCAAGCTTCAAAGCTTCACTTTCTTCAATTGTAACATCAGGGGATTCTACTGTGAACGATCACTAAACTTCTGCTTTGATCATCTATCTAACAATTTGTGAGTCCTGGCAAGAGGAAACAATATTGAAAACGCCTTGTCATACTGAATGTGTTTCTGCCAAATCAGCACATTGCAACAAGAGGCTGAGGAAACATTTCCTAGTTGCCTCAAGTGTACATCCCAGCACTGCCACCCTACGGGGTGTGTAAAATGAGGTAATTTCATTCTCAGCCTTGGTTTGCTCATCTGTAAAACTCGAGGGCAATATCCCACTCTCCTGACTGTTGTCAAGAATAAATAAGGTGAGTAAAAAGCCATAATCCACTGCCTTGGAGTCGATTCCCACTAATAGTGACCTTATATATAGGACAGAGTAGAACTTCACCCTAGGGTTTCTGAGACTAAATCTTTATGTGAGCCAACAGCCTTGTCTTTCTCACACTGACCATTATGGAGTAACAGAGAAGGACCATTTTTTTTTAAGCTATTAAATCCTGGCTGACTACTTATTGAGAAACCTCAGCTAGTCAGTCAGTCCACCCCTCTGGAAGTTGGTTTTCTCATCTGTCAAACAAGGTTTGTAGGAATTTGTCTATTGATACCTAACAAAGCACCCCCCAAATTTAGTGGCTTGTTGTTTGGTGTGCAATTGAGTCACTTCTGACTCATAGGACCCTGTATAGTTTCCAAGAAGCGCCTGGTGGGTTTGAACCACCGACCTTGGAGGTAGTAGCCCAGCGCTTATCCTACAGAGCCACATCAGTACTCCCAAGCAAATTCTTGTTTCATTATAGCTGTTGAATGTTATTGGCTGGGATGATAGTTTGTAATTCTAAATGCCTCCTTTTGCAACTAATACTTTGCAAAACTCTCTAAGAGGTAACCCTGTTGTTAAGAAAGAAAGATAAATGATTTATTCTAATATTTTACGAAACCTTTGGCATTGGTTTAGGTTTGAATTTATTCTAGAACTTTACTAAACCATTATAATTGGCATAAGGCGGGGATTCAAGTTTTCAGTCATTTGGGGAAATAAGCAGCCAAATATAGAAGCAAATGAAAATATTGGAAACCAGAAATTCTGAGTCCCTGGACTCATGCTTGGTAAAGTGATGGGAGTGTCACCAAAAGAGAGGAAGATACTCAATGAGAGGGACTGACACAGTAGCTGCAACAATGACCTCAAACACTCATGAGGATGGCACAGGATTGAAGTTTTGTTCTATCTACACAGGGTTCCCATGGATTGGAACTGACTCAACAGCACCGACCAGCACCAATAACAAAAAATATAACAGCACCTGTTGTTCAGGGCTGTCGAGTTGGTTCTGACTCAGTGATCCTGTATAGCAAGGGTAAGGAATGTCCAAACCACTGAGTCAATTCTGACCCATAGGGACCCTGTATAGGGTTTCGAAGGAGCATCTGGTGAGTTTGAACCGCCATCCTTGCAGTTCAATGTGACTGCCATCTAGTACATTAACCCACAATGCCACAACAGAACTCCCACAGGCCATATGTTGTCGTTAAGTGCCGTTGAGTCGACTCCAACCCATATGACCCTGTATAGGGTTTCTGAGGAGTGCCTGGTGAGCTTGAACCACTGACCTTGCAGTTCAAAGGGCTTTGCAGTTTGCAGTCTGGTGCCTTAACCCACTTTGCTGCTGTTAAGTGCCCTTGAGTTGGTTCTGATTCATAGCAACCCTTAATAGGGTTTCCAAGCAACAGTGGTGGATTTGAACTGCTGACCTTGTGCCTACAGCACTACACCAGAGTCCACCATCACGTTGTTAAGTGCCCATTGAGTGTGTTCCAAGGTAGGTTTGAGCCGCCAACCTGGTGGCTCAAACATCCTGCAGCTCCACACCAAGACTCCATCATGCTTTGTTGATAGGTGCCATCAAGTCAATTCTGACCCATAGCAAGCCTGTATAGGGTTCCCAAGGAGCAGCTGGTAAGCTTGAACCGCCAATCTTGCAGTTCAAATGGCTTTGCAGTCTGACACATTAACCCACAACGCCATACCAGGACTCCATCACGTTGTTGTTAAGTGCCATCGCCATCACGTTGTTGTTAAGTGCCATCGAGTCGGTTCCGACCCACAGCAACCCTGTACAGGGTTTCCAAGGGTGTAAATCTTTATGGGAGTAGAAAGCCTGATCTTTCTCCATGGAGCAGCTGGTAGTTTCGAACCACTGACCTTAAGGTTCGCAGCCCGATTCGTAACCACTACGCTACCAGAGCTCCTTAGGCATTAATTAAAGGTTTGACCAAATATGTTAAGTTGATTCCAACTCATAGCAACCCTGTATTGAGTTTCTGAGGAGTGGCTGGTGAGTTTGAACCAGATTGTGGTTCACACCAATCTGGCAGTCCAATGTTTATCCTACAGCTCCATAGCCCCTAATTTTTAAGTTGATAATTTTGTGTGACCCACAAATGATGTTATAAATTTTGGCAGAAAAAAGGTTCCCCTGTTGTATAGGATTCTCAAGGAGTGGCTGATGGGTTTGAACCTCATACTTTGCAGTTAGCATTCCAGTGCTTATCCTACAGCACCACACCAGGACTCCAAGAGCACCTGGTGGTGGTGGTTATGTGCCGTGGAGTCGGTTCCGACTCATAGCGACCCTGTACAGGGTTTCTGAGGCTGTAAATCTTCATGGGAATAGAAATCCTCATCTTTCTCCCACGGAGCAGCTGGTAGTTTCGAATTGCTGACCTTAAGGGTCACAGCCCGATTCGTAACAACTACACTACCAGAGCTCCTTAAGAGCACCTGAGAGAGTGCTTAATCCAGAGCCATTTATCCTCAGCAACTTCACCTCACAAGATTGGGATTGATTTCAACTGTCCATCCCTTTTAAAATTGACTTTTTCCTGCTCAGTTTTCTTGCTCTACAGAATCCTGGTGTGGCACCATAAGATAAGCACTCAACCTCAAGGTCACTTTGAAGCACAAGGTTGGCAGTTCAAACTCATCAGCTGCTACTCGGAAACACTATGCAGGGTTGCTATGAGGCAGAACCAACTGTACACTTAACAACTACAAGGGTAATTCCTAGTTCCAAGCAGTCAGCTCTGGTATCATATCCTCAAGGTATACGCTGAAAAGATACCAGAATTTACTAAGGGACTTATAGAAGCGGACACAGCAAATGGTTGTCACCTTCATCTTTCATTTTATATATAGGGAAGTACTGCAGTCTGGAACCACTTAAGTGCTGCTCTGCTAAAGTTATTATATACTACTTTCCTGTCTTCTAAAATGTCCTGTCAAGATAATTTATTTTCATTTTAACTCACAAGGAATTAATTGCCTTTCATCCCTTCCTAAATGAGTCAAAGTTAAAGGTGGTGAATGCACATTAACAGGAAGAAAGTGCCAGCAAATCAGCTCCAGTCACCTTAGATTGCTACTTGTTGATTTATTTGAATGCCATATTAATGTAATTTAGATTGTATAAAAATGCTTATAAAATAAAACTTTGCAAAATCCCAAACCAAACTCTTGTCATCAAGTCGATATTGATACAAGTTGTTATTAAGTGCCATTGACTTGGTTCCAATTCATAGTAACCCTGTTTAGGGTTTCCGAGGGGCAGCTGGTGGGTTTGAACTGCCAAACTTACAGTTAGCAGTCCAGTGCTGATCCTACAGTGCCACGCCAGGACAGTGACCCCATTGAGACTGAAAATCTTATGGGAGCCAACTGAAAGCAGTTAGTGGGTTTGAATTACCGACCTTGAGGGTAGCAGCCCAAAACCTAACCCACAGAACTACCAGGACTTCATTAGGTCTTTGAAACGAAATTATTATTTTTTAATTATACAAGGCCACATCACTTCTGGTAAGAGTTTTTCCTAAAAGGTTGGCTCCCATGTTCCACTGCTGAAATTGTTAAGCTACCGTTGAGTCGATTACGACTCATAGTGATCCTGTATAGGGTTTTCGAGGAGTGGCTGGTGGTGAACCGACGACCCTGAGGTTTAAAACGACTTTGTAGTCCAGTGCATTATCCCGCAGCGCCTCACCAGGACAACAATCGCTTAAATTAGAACATCTTTAAACATTTTCTTTTTAACACAAAGATTAATGTATGTAGTAGAACAAAAGTAAAAATTACCTGTGATTCTAATCCCGAGATACAAAACGACAGATTGCCCAATTTATGTTTTTAACGTAAAATCTCAAGCATTTTGATGATTCAGTGTCGCCCACCAGAAATCGCACGTTCTTTTAATGTTAATCAACTGTCCCATATACCTCCTTCATCCTCAAGATTATCAAGGTAGACCCAAATTAAAGAACTAAATTATTATGATCGATTAGTGCTTACATGTTACTTTTTAAGGGAAAAGTTACAAGAAGCGATTAGCCTGGGGAAACCAGATTCTGATCCCGTCTTTGACACTTCCCGTCCACGCATGCGCGCGCCTTACTCCACGGGGGCAGGCTTTACTCCCCGGAAACCAGGCGGAATAGCAGCCAGAGGGCTTACAGGAGACACGGAAGTAAGGGAAAGTACACGTCGGAAGTTGAGCTCAGAGAAAAAAAACGAACGGGTCTAAGTGGGGAAAGACCCTTTTGGGCCTGCAGTCCCGCACCTCGGAGCCAACTCTTATTGCTGGAGAGAACGACAAGCAGTTGAGAGAAGGGGCCTCATTTGCCCGACTGCGGCTGCGCGAATTCGGTCACGGGCGAGGAGGAGGGGCGCGTGCGCTGCGTCGCCTTGGAGACGAGGGTGGGGCCTGCGTGAGGCTGGCGTCTTAAGGCGCGGGAATCCTAGACGTGGTAGTCGGCGGCGCAGGCGCAGGCTTCAGGACATTGTCCGAGTCGTCCAGCTCTCGCTGAAACTTCTCACCCGGGGTCCTGGAGGTCTCGGCTTATTCAGGTACGAGACCTGCCGCCGTCACTTCTGAATTCTGAGCTGTGAGCCTAGCGGCGCGCTCTCCTCCGAAGTAACTTCTGTGGGACCTGCCCGTACTATGTGGTGGTGATTAGTAAATTTAATTCCTCTTTATTCCCTCTAGTTAGGTTGATGTGAATTTTTGTTTGTTGTTAAATGCTATTCAGTCACTCCTTGGAAACCCTATGCAGGATTCCTATGAGTCAAACTTGACTCGACAGCACCTAATAACAAACAACAACAATTCACATGGACCTAACCAGAGGGAATACACAGGAACCAAATTGACTACATCTGTAGAAAGAGACAATAAGCCCATGTGAATGATGGTGGTGGTTGTGTACAGTGGAGTTGGTTCTAACTAATAGCAACCCTGTGTAGGGTTTCCGAGGCTGTAAATCTTTTAAGGAGCAGAAAGTTTCATCTTTTCTCACATGAAACAGCTGGTAGTTTCGAATTGTTGACCTTGAGGTTAATAGCTTGACTCGTGACCACTACACTGAATAGTTGCCTTTTATTTTGTTTTTTAAAAGGTATTTGCAATGAATAAGTCATTGGTTTTACAAAATTCTATCATGTACCTACTATTCAGGAAACATGATTACAAATAAGCCCGTCTTCAGCCTATAACTGACTGAAATACCTAAAAGGGGTTCTACAACTTGCCCAGTGAAATAGGCCTCGTGCAAAGCCTTTACAGAGTATAGGACCTTAGGTGGAATCCTGAGCCCCAACCTTCTGAGGTGGTACATTCCCACTGTAAAGAACAAGCAGACCAGCCTAGAATAACTAGAGCAACAGAAGATACTTCTTGAAAGAAAGATGAGCAGGAAAAATCCAAAACAAAAATGGCAGTCTGATTGGCTACTACAAAATCAAGCAAGTTATTCTCCAGGGAACCATGGAGGCAAGCAATAAAGTCTCTTCAGGACAAACCCCCCTCTAAGACTGAAACTCAAAGGGAACTCATGAGCAGGCATGTAAGCTTGCTGACGACCACATTGAGAGAGGAGTCTTCACATCAAGTATCAATTCTATCTCCTCTGTATACAGGGTTGATAGGGATGGGCAACTTAGACATTGGCTAAAATGGGCTATAAAGACACGAAGTGACTGGCTTACAAGTTATCAAAAGGGAGTTTAGTATCAGAGTGTGCAGGACAAGTAGAGTCCCCACTGAATAGTTTTCATGTCTAGATGGATCTGGTGAAAAGAGATGGGGATAAGATTCTTAATGATTCAAAAGTGAGTAATTTGTTATCATGACTAACTGCAACAGTCACAACTGTAAACGTAGAATTTTTGTAACAAAAAGGGGGGAGTAGTTAATCTCACAGTCCAGGAACAAAAGACCCTAGGACCATTGAGGGAAAAGAGCACAAATGGATTGTGGGACCCTATCCAGAGAAGCAGTGACACCAGATGTAGGCAGAGATGAGAACATGGAGAGAAGGAGCAGCTGAGGACTCTAGACTCATGAAAAGTGAAAGACTGAGTGTTGGCAGCCAGGAGGCAGGCTTGCAGAAGGTGCCCTTGTTTAAATGATTATATATTCCTGAGTGTTTGTATGCATTTCTGCCCCAAAACAACAACACGAAAAAAAAAACAACACAGAAGGAATAGAAGCAAATACTGAGACCAGTTAATACCACTTGTTGAATGATGAGGCATAGAGGAGATTGAAATCATTGCAGTGAAATGATGAGTGTAGAATCAATGTTCTCTCATGTAAGCTAGCACTCAATTCACAATAAACTTTAAAAAAGAAAAAAAAAAAAATCTGTCATGCAATCTCCAGTATTGCTTCTGTTATCAAGGCCATATTTTCCAACTAATGATCCTTCTTGGGTCCATCAGTCCCATTCCAATGACCAGCAGTTATCAATACGTCTTGATTGCCTGTTTAATCAGTTTCAGACTGAAGAAGTTGGTAGAATTCTGGCTTTAGTGATTGGTTTGTAAAGCTTGAATAATAGTGGTATTAACTGGTCTCCCTTGTAGTTATATTGATATTATCCTATCGCAGATAATGTTGTACTTCAAGATAGATCTTGAAATATTCTTTCTGATGATGAATGTTGTTCCTGCCATAGTAAACCATATATATGATTGTCAGATTCAGCATGGCCAATCCCAGTCCATTTAAGAAACCTAATACCTAGAATGGAGACCTGGTGTGGTTCTGTGGGCTAATGCATTAGACTATAAAGTTGTTTGAACTGCAAGGTTGGTGGTTCAAGCTCACCAGCTGCTCCTTGGAAGCCCTATACAGGGTCACTATAAGTTGGAATCGACTTGACGGCACTTAACAACAACAATGTCTAGGATATTGATCTTTATGTATTCCGTTTCATTCTTGACGACTTGCAATTTTTGTATATTCATACTTTGTACCTTCCATGTTAGGAAATGTTCTGTGTAGCTCTTGAGAAATGTGGTTCCTAAATTTCCATCCCTTTCATGCCACTGCTATTAAGTCAATTCCAACTAATATGGGGGCAAAAAGCCTAATCTTGTTCCCTGAATCACCTGGTGTGTTTAAATTGCCAATCTTGTGGTTAGCAGTCCAGTGCTTATCCTACAGGGCCACCAGGGTTCCTTGGCTCCTAAAAGGCTGTAAATAATTTCTTCTTCTTTTTTTCACCTCCATCATTTTTCCTATGCTATAGTTAAAAGAGGAATGTAAAAGGCTTCTTGATCCATGGAAGATTCTGCTCATATGCATGTCAAGCCACTGGTTGAACTTCCATCAAAAGGGGATTAAACAGAAAATGGAAAAGAAGATTGACTCCAGGTGAGTGATGAGACTTGATTAAAAAAAAAGATAACTGAAATTTTGGCTCATATAAAATTCTGTAAACCCCCAATAGCTCAATTTTCATCCAAACAGTAGATAGGTCTATAAGGGGAACAATAGCAAATGCAATTTAGGGTAATCTACCATGTGACGTAAAAAAGGCAGCATTTACCCAAGAACAGTTTCAGAAGAGTTAGGAAAGAAGGAGGAATGGAAATGAGATACAGGAAGGAAGTGGGATTAGTGATGTTGCATTGGGGAATGGCAATCCATATGCATGTGCAAAATATATATGAATTATCTGATGTAAAACTGATGATCTGCTTTGTAAACCTTCACCAAATTCATTATAAAAAGGTTTTTTTAAAGTCTACAAATACTTTCATGAGTTGTTGATAACTGAATTTTTTATCTGCAGTATAATATAAATTGTAGAATGTTGTAGTCAAAAATGCTGTGCTTTTTTGTTTTGTTTTTTTTTAATATTTAAGGTTTTTGTTGTGGATTGAGTGAAAGTTTACAGGGCATATCAGTTTTACATTCAACAAATCATATGCCTTGTTTCATTACATATTATCCCCTCCATGAACCATCAGTTAACAGTATTTCTCTTTATCCACTTTAGCTTTTTAAAAAACAAACAAACAAAAAAACCCACTCAGGCATATATAATAATTTACATCTCCAAAGGGCACATTCTGTAAGTCGGCTCCTAGCCACCAGCTCTTAGTCCTTCTCTTTGTAGTCCATGAATCTACAGTCCTCAGCCGCTCCCCCTCTCCATGCCCCCAACTCTGGCACTCCTGCTTCTCTGGATAAGGTCCTGCATTCTGCTTGTATGTTCCTCTCTTTATGGTCCTAGGGTCCTCTGTTTCTGGACTGTAAGATTAACCACTCCCCATTTTTTGTTACAAAACTTCTACCTTTACAATTGTGACAGT